GGGGGGGGGGGGGGGGGGGGGGGGGGGGGGGGGGGGGGGGGAGGAGGAAGGAGCAGGAAAAGAAAAACCCTTCGCTCCCCCTTCTCGCTGAATTTGCCTATGGTTCTATAAGATATGCGATTCCACAAAATGATTTTGGAACAAGAAATTTGCGAGATTTATGTCAGTTTTGCGTTCTTCTGAACTGGCTAGCAAGGAGAATCTTACTATTTTTGAAATTGGTTAAATAAGACCCGCTCTGTATTTAAACGTTCTGCGAGGTGTAGGTACTCGGAAAATAGCGCGAGTGGCAGCTGATGCAGCAGCAACTACTTTACTGACAAGGTTCCCTCCTTCGAGGTTTGCTTCCAAGCAAACTAATGGTGAGTCTGGTTCCCTAGCGTATGCCTGGACCAATTTACCATTGAAAGAATAAATGACTTATTTTGAGATTGGTTGCCTCATCGGTAAAGTTGTCTTACCCTCTGTCCAACAATGGTCCTACTTCCCACTGCGCCATGCCATTGGGTAATTTTTTAAATGAAAGTGGAAAAATCCAGATTCAGTTCAGCAGTAACGTGTAGTTATTCAGCATTTATCTTTCTCGTCCTTTCGTATTTTTTATTTCATGCTAAAATTAACCGTACTTTTGTTTTAGCATATCAGAAGAAAAAACATCAGTTTCTTAGGAACAAAACTCAACTACCAGCTCTGCTTGAAGCACCAATGATTTTTGAGGTTTTTCTTTTTTTAAATTCAGCTTCTCGATCATTATTTTTAATTATCTGTATAAAATTAATTGTAAATTTTTATGAAAATTATTGAGGTTCCAATATTTTTTCCTGAGAGAAATTCTTGGCGGTTTAGATTCAGTTTTCCCTAATAAGTAAGCCTCAAACTTTGGCCAAAAGAGCCAAAAAACGAATGTGGCGGTTATTCAGTTACCATCCTTACAGTCGCTACGTGAATACAGTATTCTGCACTTCCATTACTGCTCTGTGAGCTCCTTCATCATTCCGCTTTGTTTGTTGCCGTCTTTCAGTGGCCGTGCCAGCGACTTTTCTGTAGTTTTTTCGTAATTCTTACCGTACTTGGTGGGACAGTTGATACCTATAAAATATAAAAATACAAAATTACGCTAAAAAATTTGATTTACGAGAACGTTTCGGTTCATCAAGTCGTATACACGCTTGTTGGGAAACTTGATCGCATTCATTTTAATTGTGCAAGTTTGGCTTTGTTACATTAGATAATCGATGTGTGCACGACCCACTGTTTTGATTAGCAAGCAGCGTTTAATGCCTGTAGTCATTTTTTGCAGGATGCTAAACAGACAGATGTACTGTTATTCTGGCCGATGAATTTACATGGTTACATGATCGATAAGATGTTACATCGTTTCTACAATTTTCGGCGATGTAATGAAAGGGCCATTTTCATTCCGTCCACAATTATCGCGCAAGGACAGCTTATTAGTTGTCCAGAAATAGTGCATAAGTCTAAACCCTGTCCACAGGCATATCAGGGTGTTGATCTCTCAGTTATCAATGATCTCGCAATCACATTTTATTACGATATCGAGGTTGTTTTAATTTTTTTGCTTTTTGCTTTTCATTTTCCCCCTCACAGATTTTTAAGCGGGTTTTCCAAGTAGTAGTTTACATTTTAGGCTTTTTCTTGTCCTTAGACTTGGTAATTTAGTTCAATTTGGTCTTGTTTTGAATTTCACACTGAGGTGGTTGCTAGAAATTAGATGAGATTGAAGGCGGCTGCGAATGGTATATACGGATAAAGCTTGTTGATAAAAAATTCAGCTTTTTGCACCAGTTCTTGGTACACTAGTGCTTCCACTGTTGTATTGAGAGGGGCGCTACTTTGACTAGCCTTACGGATACTTCACAAGTTGTACATTCGTTCTTACATTTTAGCGCAGTACGTTGGTGCATGAGGTTTATTCTGCGCCATTCGATCTCATTACTCTTCCATTTGATACGGTTGGATTTTGTTTTATCTTTTCGTACGCACAATTTGTTTTACTACTTATTTAGTTTACCCTTCAATACGTCAATCTTTTATGCCGCTTGAGCATAACCCTAACGGATGGCAGCTAGGTAGAAA